CCAATTAATTTTTCTTGATGAAAGTTCTAAGGATAAAAGAAGCTTAACACGTTATTATAGGTATTCTTCTGTCAATACTCGTGCCCAAAAAAAAATAGTGTTTGTTAGGGAAAAATGCTATACAATTCTTCCAGCACTTATGATCGATGGAATCATTGCATTAGATATTATTGAAGGTAGTTGTGATAGGAAGCGATTTGTGGATTTTATTTTAGATCAAGTGGTCTGTATATAGGGCTATTACGTTACGATGTTCAATTTGTTTCAATTTTTTTGGACACATATCCAAAAAAAATTGAAACAAATTGAACATCGTAACGTAACAACCGTTTATATGTATTTAAAATAAATTGCATTTATACCATATTAAATACTATATAAATTTCAACATACATAGGTTCCTTGTATGGCTCCGTACCCAGAAAAAATAGTATTATCATTATGGATAATGCACGAATTCACCATGATGAAGAGCTTGTAAGGTTGGTTGAGAGTTTGGGTGGGCGGGTTGAATTTCCCCCCCCTTACTCTCCTGATTTTAATTCTATAGAAACTGCTTTTTCTTCAATCAAGGCTTGGATTAAACGTTATAGAGATTTTTTTGATAGTTCTGATGACCCAGTTTATGCGTTGGAAGTAGCTTGCGCACATATTACAAGTAATATGGCCAATGCATTTTTTAATGCTTTGATTTATTCAGAGTAAATATACTTAAATTACTCAAATGTACTAGTTTAAATAGAGTTTATGTATTATGAAAAAAGCCAAAGAATTTTTAATAAAGCTTTAAATAAAATTATTAAGATTAGTTATGAGGCGTTTGCATTTTAAACTTACTGTAATTTACCGTGCAAGGTACCCGGGTACGATTTAATTTCACGTGGTAAAAATTTGATTTGTACCCTGAGTACCTTGTATAGTATAGGGTACGTTGTGTGGAGCGTAATATTAACTCTAACCCTAAGTAAAAAAAAATTATTATTAGTAAATCGGTCTTTGATTTGTACCCGGGTACTTTACAAAATGCCACAACAAATAACTCTGCAATATACCCAGTACAAATCAAGGGGGGTACCGATCAAAGGGGGTATCTTCCACGGTAAATTACGATATTTTATTTCAAAATCATGTTCTAAATATTCTTAAATATGTTATTATTGCTTATGACAATTGTTACAGTACAATGGGAGAAAACTAGACTTCGGGCATTTAAAATTATAACTTATTGGACTTAATTTTTATTAAAATCTAATATTATAAGTCCAGTAATTATAATTTGAAAGCTCAAATCTGGCTTTCTCATTATATAAAATATAAATCTTTATTCTAAAATTTGAATTATGAATACTATTATAATAAAGCAATATTAACACAGTATAATAAAAAAAATTTTGCGTAACTTTAAACATGCTTATAATAGTATAATTGAAAAAAAAAAAACTAATCTGCAATGTATCTTAATATTCACGAGCTAGCTTCATAATTTTTTTGCGCCATCCCATCTTATTTACTCCTAATTCAATTAAATCTGATTCAGAAAGTTCTTTGATAGTATCTAATGAAATTTTTTCATTTTCAAATGTCCTTTCGAATTGTGTATAAGATCTTGATTTATTATTTATTACTTCTAATTCTAAAAAAAATTCGTGAACCATTTTAGAAGAATGAATTGCTAATGTAAAAGAATTATCCATATTTGGCGAACCAGATAAACCATAAGAATTTGCAAAATGAACTGGGGCAGGATAATAGATTATTTGAGGTTGAGGAGCGTAAGACATGCCATATAGTAGTGTATTATTTGAATCTGTTGATTGTGAAGGAAATTGTGGTTAAACAATTCGCCCATAAGATATATTAAAAATAGGATAAACAGGTAGAGTATCAATCGTAGTATTCTTCTTGATCTATTAAATAAATTATAATTATACTAAGAAAAGTATAATATAAAGTACTGGTATATATTTTTAAAACAAATTACAATATCTTTTGCCCACATTTGTAATCGATAGGGTGTTAATTCTAAATGGCGATCACCATCAACATAACAAATCTTATTACAAATTTTGCACTCCCATTTTTGGCGAAGTTTTGTAATCTGATCAGCTTTATCTATTTTATCTTTATCAGCATTATCATCATTAGAAATACATAAAGCTTTGCTTTTGGACTCATTAGACTTTTTCGAATTAAGATCCTACAATACAATAATAAGCATTTAGTAAAATATAATTTATTTTGATAAATAAAAAATTATTTACCGTCATTAACTCTTGTTTTCTTTTTTTTATCTGCTTATTCATTGTAACACAAACACAAATAATCTTATCGGTAATTATTGATTTATATAATTTGAGAAACTCTTTCCAATCATCATTATCTTGTAAAATCATTGCACCAGTTCGACTATGTTCTACTTTATATGATAATGAGTAATTGCTTATTACAATTGAATAATTATTATTGATTTTGCATATCTATTGTTGAATAAGTTTCTTAAATTCTTCAAAGCTTACTAATTTAGTCGTAATACTCTTTCCAGGTAATATATTTCCATTCTCATTTTCAACAAA